CCTTTAGAGTTGCCTAGTGATTCACTGCTGTCCTGATGGGGAAAAGGGCCTAACCTTTAGGGACCTTCACTAGGTGAACAATAAATGCCTTGTAATCTTGCCCTAATAATTTGTGCAGGAGAGATGTTGAGGGATTCCAGGGGTGGGCAAACTTTTTGACTCGAGGGCCACAATGGGTTCTTAAACTGGACCAGAGGGCCAGAACAAAAGCATGGATGGAATGTTTGTGTGAACTAATATAAATTCAAAGTAAATAAACATCATTACATAAAAAGGTACGGTCTTTTTTTTTTTTTAGTTTTATTCATTTCAAACGGGCTGGGTCTGGCCGGAGGGCCGTAGTTTGCCCACGGCTGGATTAATCAGAAAACTTGAACCTCTCCTTTATAACAAGCTCAATTTTCAAGTTTATTAAAAAGATTTACTGGAAGTATATAAGAAATCTAAAAATATAAGTATAAATAAATTGTTTAAAGAATTCTACCACTGGTCACATGATTTCTATCAAGACACCAAATGATGGTGTGCCTCCTACAATGAGGCTGATTGCCCACCCTTCGTGGAGAGGGTATGAGGCAGAGAACTCAACTTGCAAAGTGAGATCTGCCTGGATGAGAACAGCTCTTCCAGTTAGTTATCTAACCCATCCATGGTGGGTTCTTCATCCATAAAAGGCAGTTGTGCTTTGCTCACAGGTGTTAGGAGATTCGTGAAACCTGGGGAGAGCACAGTGAAGCCCAGATCCAGCCAATCTAACCAGTCTTGTAAAAACCATGGGAAGATCTTCTGTAGCTTTTCTTTCAGGCATGTTCATTCACAGACATTCATAGTAAATCAGAACAAGATGTTTAAAACGGTATTTATAGACTTCAAGGTTTTCAAAGTAGCGATAAATGTATAACACCTTGTATATACACATATATGAATTAAAATGAGCTAATACCATAATAGCACTCAATTGACAAATATTTGGGGGATACATCTGAACTCAGCTTCCTTCAAGGTGCATATCCTGTGAGACAGTAGCATTGATTGCCAAGCTGATGCCCCTCCTCCCTGCATATGTAAACACTTCCCTTCCTATCTTTGGATTGGTGTGTGTATTCTTGAATTTTTAAGCAAATGATTATTTTGTTGGGTGCAGAGTATTCCAGCATCTAAATGTGCTATAATTACTTAACTAGTCCCAACTATTGGACCCTTAGTTTGGTTCTGATTTGTCATTACCATAATTAACCCATGACAAACATTCTTACGTGAAAAACATTATACACATCTCTGATAAATTCCTTAGGATAAACTCTTACAATTAGAATGTCTGGATCAAAGGGCATGGATAACCTTAAAATTTTTGACTTGCCAAACTAACTCATTCCTCTCAATGATTATTAAGGGCCCCCATTTTCCTTCTCACCAACATTGAGTTTTACCACTTAAAAAAAAAATCTTTATCAATCTTAAACAGTAAGTGGTAGAAAACACCTGTCTCCTACTTTGTTCTGGTAAGTAAATACAGTATGGGGAAGGTAATCTTGACAAGGCTAAGTTGTGATTCTGAAGATGAGGTTTCTGTGGACTGCTCTAGAGTTAGAGTATGAAGGTTATATACAAAGAAAGCTTTTTGCCTCAGAACAGACTCTGCGTGTCTGAATCATGAGTGAGGAGGCTTGGATTCTGGTTCTAGCCAGTCAGGTTTCTTCAGGCTAGTTCTGTATTCTCGCAATTTACCTTAAATACCTCAGAGGAGCCAGCAGGATGCTTATCTATGTGGGTAAGTCAGCTTGAATCTGTGCTTTGGAATCCACCCTCCAGAGGCCATAATTCGGGCACTTCAGAATGGCCTTCTAAATAAAACAGTACCAGAGGGTTAATTCATTAGTATAAGGAATGTCAGAAATAATTTTTCATTGATGAGATGAATGATGTGCGAGATATGAAGCTGACAAGATTGTACAAGTGTCTCTCTGCCTTTTTTTTGAGCAACATAAATGAGTTTGGTAACTTAATGTTTCTGGAGTAGTGCCCTGTCTAGAACTCCATTTGTTCCCGACTCCTCCACTTAATCAGGCATTTAGTTGCTTGATCTGGCTAGAACAGGAGTTCTCAACCTTGGCTGCACATTAGAATCACCTGGGAGTCTTTTTAAAATCCTGATTTCCGGGCCTTGTCCTCCGGGAATTCTGTTTCTTTGTTATGGGGTGGGGCCACAACATTGGTAACAAAGAAACAGAATTTCCAGAGGACGAGGCCCGGAAATCAGGATTTAAAAAGATTCCCAGGTGATTCTAATGTGCAGCCAAGGTTGAGAACCACTGGGCTAGAAGGGTAGCTGATTATGTCATTATAATACAGGTGCACTTGCACCTGTATGATAACCAGATGGAAACTTTCCTGGGAAGGTTCCCACAGAGTGCAAAATAAGACAGTGAGGGGGGACTCCACTGAGCTTCCGGAAACATGTTTTGGACTCTAGTGGTGCCTGTCTGGTGATAAATATCTTTCCTGTGGCAGAATTCAACCCCAGACTTGCTTTCATTATAACATAACACCAGGGAGTAAGGTTGTGGGGAAGGAGACCTATCATTTCTAACTTCACTTCTGAAACTTTTTGCTCATCTGTGTGTGTTGCAGAAGGAATAAATTATTTGCCTTCCCAATTAGTTCTAAAAGTTCTAGATGATGTGGTAAAAGAACTTAGTATTTGATTCAGGTTGCCTGGCATTATCATTCAATAGAAAGGAAATGTTATAATATTTAATATGATGCTTAATAGAAAGTGAATGAAAAGGAAATTGAAGTGCAGAGAGAATAAATAAGTTTGAGAGGCCTTTCTTACTCCAAAATTCACATTCTTTCTACTGTAATACTTGATACCCCTCTGATATGAACTGAATTGTGTCCCCCAAAAAATTCTAAGTAGAAGACCTAACCCCCAATGCAACTGTATTTGGGGGTAGGACCTTTGAATAGGTAATTAAGGTTCAATGAAGCCATAAAGGTGGAGCCCTAATCCAGTCTGAATGGTGTCCTTATAAGAAGAGACACCAGGATTGCACATGCACAGAGGAAAGGCCTTGGGAGGACACAGCAAGAGGGCTTTGGCCTCAGGAGAAGAAACCAAACCTGCCACCACTTTGATGTTGGACTTCTAACCTCCAGGACTATAAGATCGTAACTTTCTGTTGTTTCAGTCCCCTATTCTGTGGTATTTTCTAATGGCAGCCTTATCGACTGACACACCCTCACCTTTGTGAGATGGGGCAGAAAGATAGATGCTAAGAGGGCAATTGTGGTGAGGTTCCTGCTCAGGAAAATCAAAAGTGACAGGCTAAGGAATTTTCTGAAAAGAATCAGCCACCACAATTTTGTGAGATTATGGAGTTTTGTAACTTAACACATGGTTGTTGTTGTTTTTTATCGCCTTTAGTAAATAGAACCAAATCTAAATGAAAATCACCCTTTAATTCATTCAAAAAGTATTTATTGAGGACCTACTTTCTATCAGGCAAGGTACTAGGTAAGATGGTATCAAAGGTCTCTACCCTCTGGAGCAGTGGTTCTCAACCTTCCTAATGCCGCGACCCTTCTATACAGTTCCTCATGTTGTGGTGACCCCCAATTTCATTGTTACAATTTGAACATAATTAAAACATAGTGATTAATCAAAAAAACAATATGTAATTATATCACAAGCTAATAGGGCAGAGGGAGACAGCCCCAGGAGAGGAAAGCTGGAGAGCCTGGGCCCACAGACAAGGGGAAAGGAGTGGGGAGAAAGTAAGAGGCTGGGCAGTTCAAAGCCTGGGGAACAGTGGTTGAAAACTAGTAGAGACCAAGGCAGTGGCTCAAGAGGGTTCACCCAGGACCAGGGAGGACCCCTGGGAGTGCTGCGTGGGTCGGGATGGGGGAGAGGAAACTGTAAATAAAAAGAGGTCCATGCCAGGACTGGTGTGACTCTGATTGAGCATTGACCTATGAACCAGGAGCTCACAGTTTGATTCCTGGTCAGGGCACATGCCTGAGTTGCAGGCTGATCCCCAGTAGGGGGCGTGCAGGAGGCAACAAATCAATGATTCTCATCATTGATGTCTCTCTCTCTCTCTCCCCCTCCCTTCCTCCCTGAAATCAATTTAAAAAAATACTGTCTTTTTTTTGTTTGTTTTTTTAAAAAGGCCCCATAGCAAGTTTTCACCTGCTTAACAATTTTGCCTGAAGCCAAGCAATTTATATGTATTGTCTCCTGAATCATCTTCTCTGGTAGCCCTAGTGCAGAAATAGTTTGACTTGTTGCTCAAGTTGATGGGAATTTTGTCATCTTAATTAACTACCCAGTTCCATTACAGGTTGGAAAATGTGAGGTAAGTTGAAAAAGTTCAAGGGGCTTCTCATTAGGCCTGGTAGTTGACACTGCCATGAAGTCAACATAGAGCTTTAGTGCAGTCCATAACCATGAAAATGAAGTTTGCTTCAGATAAATCAAAATGCTTATAGAAGTCAAATGGACTATCAGCAGATCCGTTACCAAGAAGTGTCTTGTGCAGTGACCCTTTCATGCATCAAACAATGCTTCATGGTGCTTTCCTGGCCCTGTTCCTGTAACTGTCCCTCTCTAGGGGAATAGTATTCCCTCACCTTGTCTGTTCTGTAGACAGGAAGGGAGGCAGAGGGAGGCGCAATGATTTTAGAATTGGCTCCCCAGGTTAGAGAATCTGTGTTCTCAGAGATCTTCAAGAAACAGTCATTTGGCGCTGAGTGATTTTAACATTGATTGACTTGATAGATTTTTAAGATTCCCTCTAGCACTTTGACTTTGTGACCCTGATGACTAGGAAAATGTTCACTGATGCACAGACCTCACTTCTCATTTCATGTGATGCCATATTGCCAAGCTATAGCTGATGTTGGACACAGGCTTTGTGCCCACAGGGTGATTGTTATCAGATCATAGCTGTTGGTGTTTACATCAGTTTTAATTCAGATCACCTTCTATTCAATCACAGGTCATCTTTAGATGGTGGAAGATTTCTCTAAGGAGTGGGTATCAATCAACAAAACCTGGAGAAGTAAAAGAATCTCATGAAGACTTCCGAGAGAATTCACATCTTCAGAGTAAGGAAGGGAGCATGCTATATGCACTTATTGCTGTTAAATTCAGTTTAGTGATTAATTTGGCAGAGGATCAAAGACATCATCATTTGAAATATCGATGGTTCAGTTTAGTGATTAATTTGGCAGAGAAGGATCAAAGACATCATCATTTGAAATATCGATGTCATTCTGTACTTAATTCAATACAGTAGATATAGTAGAATATTGGATTCTTACAGCAAGTATTTATAAAATGCATTATTGGCTTAAGAAGAACCATGTTGGAGAAAGACTGTGCACGTTTCATGAATAAAAATCAGCCTAGGCCTCCCTTCCTTATTTAATAAGAGGTATGTGCTTATAAAATAAAGAAGGAAACACTTTCCATTTTCAAGTTTAGATCCATTTTATTTTCTAAGCCCTGTGGTACCTAACCCAGAACTAGATGTTTAGTAGTGCTGAATATTCATCAGCAGACCATGTGATTTTCAGACTGACTTCCACAAAACCCAGAGATGGGGGTTGGGCAGGACAGATGGGAGGTGATTGTCTTCTAAATAGAGGCTTAAGGGCCAAGTCCTCACCTGCCTCTTGCTTGCCCCAGGCACCGCCAACACCCCTACCCACCCGCACCCCTCCCCCCCCTAAGATAATGAGGGGAGAGTGACAGGGTGACATCAGGCTCAGGATGACCACTTGTGTGTTTCCTGATCCTGGAGGAATGGGCAATAAAGTGGGAATTTAAGGGTCAGACTGATGCCTGCCCCACTCCCTCTAACCCTCCTTTCGGGAGAGAGGAGTAGAGGGATTCAGTCAAGGAGTGCACTCACACTGGCTTTTAAAACTGCAGTTTGGAGAGCGGCTAATTTCAGGCTACCTGGGGGCCTTTCTCCAGGAGTGGGGCTGAGATACCAAATTAAACTGTCCTGGTGAGTTCAAAAGCTCCCGTTTCTCACTTTTTAGACCTACAGCATCCCAGCAGAGGGGAGACCTCCAAACCACACTGCTGTTCGTCCCCCTCCTCTCTTGGTTCTCAGGGAACCCCTCAGAAAGGCCTCTCTGCTGCGGAAGGAAGGGGGCACTGTGGCACCGAGCAGGATCAGGGGCCCTGCCTCACCCAGCATGGTGTGTAATCAGCTCTTAATCATTGGTTGCTGCTGTTGTTAAGAAAATGATGTTTGCCTAGGTTTCCATCCCATCTTTTGGCATAGTTCCAAGATCTCCTCCCCACCAAAATTTTCTCATCCAAAATAATTCTGTTTAAGTCCTACACATTGGTGACACGTCTAGAAATCTGGGTTAGTCTTGGTGGCATCCTTGGCAAAGGACTTGACCTGTGTCACTCTTGCTTCCTTGGCTTCTCAGTAGCACTTAGCTCGAGCTGATATTTTCTTCCCTGACTTCCAGGGCATCTCGAGAGGTTGTGTCAAGGCTCTGGTTTTAAATGCCACCCATAAATAAACAAGCCCCTCATCTCCAGCCTGTACCTCTCCCAGAACTCCACACTCAGAAATGTATCTAGCTGCCCTCTCAACATCTCCACTTAAATATGTAGTAGCCTCTCAAATGTAACATGTCCAAAAATAGCTCCTGATGGTCCCCTAAAACCCTCCCAGAAAATGTCAGCCAAAGATTCTATAGTTACCCTTGGTTCCATTCTCTTACATGCTAGATTGAATCCATCAATATAACTAGAATCCAAACTGTGGTGACCCCAATGATGCCCATCAACCAATATTCACACTTTTGTGTAATCCCCCCACACACACACACACACTGTATCTAGATCAGTTGTGCAACCAACAGAACTTGGCAGAAGTGATGGTGTGTCACTTTCGAGGTTAAGTTATAAAGGACACTGCAAAATCGGCCTTTACTCTCTTTTCTCCCCCTCTCTCTTCCTTTCATCACTTGATCTGGGGGAAGCCAGCTACCATGTCTGAGGCAGCTCTGTGGATAGGTCCATGTGGTGAAGAACCGAGGCCTTCATTCAACAGCTGTGTGCATGAGTTTTTTTTTTATAAGAGGGTCTTCCAGCCTTAGGCCTCAGATGATGCAACCCGTGATGTCTTGACTGTAACCTCATGAGAGGCAAAACCCGAACCAGGACCATCCAATTAAGCCACTTCTAGATTCCTGAACCTCAGAAACTGTGAGATAATACATGTCTGTTGTGTTAAGCCAGTAAACTTTGGGGTAATTTGTGAACAACAATAAATAACTAATACACAAATGAATGCTTCTAACCATCTCCACTTCTGGTCCAACCAAGGACAAACTCTCTCCCAGATCATTGAACCAGCCTTCCATCTGCTCTCCCTCTTCCCCCCCTTCCCCCACAGTACTTTGTTCTCAGCACAGCAGCCATTATTTCATCGTTTATTTATAAAACTAGAGGCCCAGTGCACAAAAATTTGTGCACTCGGGTGGGTCCCTCAGCTCGACCTGTGCCCTCTCACAGTCTGGGGCCCCTCGGGGGCCCCTTCCCCTGGCTTCTGGCACCAGTTTTTCTCTGGCGCCTGGAACCCAGGCCTTTGCTCTTCGCCGGGAGGGGCTGGCACAGCAGGCTAGGGGCTTAGCTCCTCACTTGCCGCATGTGGGCCCCGGGGGCGTGGCAGAGACCAGTGCGGCGGGCTTCCCTCTTTGCTCTTCGCTCACAACGCTGGCCTTCGCGCGCTGCTCCTGCCCGGGGCCAGCCGGCTTCGCTCCGTTGCTTGGCACTTAAGTATGCAAATTGACCGCCATCTTTGTTGGCAGTTAATTTGCATATCGCCCTGATTAGCCAATGTAAGCATAGCAAAGGTACGGTCAATTACCCTTTTTGTCTTTTATTAGATAGGATGAGACTTTGTTAATATATTGGGGTCATAGTATTTTAATTTTGAGTAATTTAAAACCTTTGCAGGACATTTGATCCTGTCCAAAATGTCCATACTTAGAAACTGTCCCTGGGTTCACATAGCCCATAATGCTTTATTCTACCTTTGGTTTATGGGATAAATACCTTAAAAATACTATCATATTTCATTGGCCCAATAATTGGGTTGTAGCTGTATTGCCAATAACCCTTCTTGCCTGGGTAGCCTGGCTGGTAATGGCCTGTGGGATTAGGCAGTTGTGTTGGGGTTTGAATCTTTCAGGAGAACTGGATTTATATAAACTATGAACCAAATGTCTCCTGATATTTTGGACAGGACTGAATGTACTAATCGTTCAAAACTTATATAAAATGCCTGTTACTTCACAATATTCACAAATTCCCCTCTCCCCCCTCAAAGCTGCTGTATTAATTATACTCTATCCACCAGGATACAGGAGTTTTCTTACACCTTTGCCATCACTAATTAGATATTACTATCTTTCTTCATCCTTTCCAGTCAAATAGTGAAATCAATATCTTGTCTAATTAGCATTATCCTGATATTGAGTAAGTTGAGCCTCCTGTATGTTTAATTGCCATTTATATTCTTTCTGTAATTTACCTGTTTGTATTCTTTGTCCATTTGTCTGTGAATTTTTTTTTCTTTCTGAGACCTTTAACAATCGGAGGAAATGTCTATAGATTTTCCTCCCAAGTTAAATAAATAGGAACAATCAGGAAATTAGCTGTTGGAAACTTTAAAAATTTTTAGGTTAAGGTAAAAATGTGCCAATATAAACTCAATTGAAAGTGTTGCGCCCTAACCGGTTTGGCTCAATGGATAGAGTGTCGGCCTGCGGACTCAAGGGTCCCAGGTTTGATTCCGGTCAAGGGCATGTGCCTTAGTTGCGGGCACATCCCCGGTGGGGGGTGTGCAGGAGGCAACTGATCAATGTTTCTGACTCTCTCTCCCTCTCCCTTCCTCTCTGTAAAAAATCAATAAAAAATAATATTAAAACAAGGAAAAGAAAGTGCTGATTCATGGGTTGAGATTGAATCCAACTTAAAAATAAGTTGTTTTCCAACTTATGTTCATTTTAAAGTTGGTTGTCCATTTTAAAGTTGATTGCTTAGACCTTTTAATGAGTTCTAAGTGGTGGTTAAGTATTTAGGGTAATCCACAATAATCCCTGTGATAAAACCAAATGACAACAACTATACTTTCTGAACCACATGACGAAGGTTTCTTATTTTGGGTATTGCATGTGAAAGGAAATGTGGGAGATAATTATTTTGATGTCAAAGTTTTTTAATTCCCTTGGGCATTTAGATGATTGTGGGGAGAATTTGACTGAATGTTTGAAATGAGAACTATAATGAAAAATTGATAATACTAATAAACATGAATGTCCTGAAATACTGAGTTTTAGATCCTAGGAATATGGGTATAGCAGGAATAGAAATTGGGAAAGACAGTCTTTACCTTCTTTCCAGCCTGGGCCAACCCCATATATGGATCCATAATCCATTTTCTCTAGGTCCTTTCTCCAGCTTTCTATCTCAGCTTTGGACCTGCAGTTTCTCCTGCCTAGCCACCACCTCTGACTCTGCTCCTCTGATCAGTCACTCCCTGTCTTCAGCCTGGATTCTTGGAAATTCTGCAGGCCCGGGGACATCTGTGAGTGGAGGGTGGAATGGGAGGGTGTTAGGGGCAGAAGCACTACAGGACAACATGGAGCCAGTTCCCTGTATATCCTCCCAGAAATGGTCTGTGCATGTATACAACACATCTTAACATGAAAAGAAGAATCTTATGCCTTGTGTTCTATACTTTGACCTTTAAAAGTTTTTAAGTTTAGAAATATCTTAGACCTACAAAAGAGAACAGAAGTAATACCCAACACCACTAACTGAAAATATTAACATTAGTCATATTTACTTCATTTTAGCCAGATTATCAAATGTGTTGGTGAAGTTGCTCAGAATATCCTCTCCTTTCTATGTCTGTAGTATCTGTAGTGATGTTTTCTTTTTAATTTCTTGATAAGGGTAATTTGTGCACCCCCCCCCTTTTGTCTTGATGAATCTTGTTAAGAAGTTATTCATTTTATTAATTTTTTCTAAGAACTACTGATTTTCTCCATTTTAGTTATTGATTTCTGCTCTTACCTTTATATTATTATTTCCTTCCTACCACTTTCTTTAGTCTGATTTTGAGATGGAAGCTTAATCATTGTTTATGATTAAGTTTTCTGAGATGGAAGCTTAATCATTGTTTTTAACTATCTCTGCTCACTAAATGTTCTTTAATTGCTTCTGTATCTGTATTAGGTAAGTTTTGATAAATTGTATCTATAGTCTCATTCACATTAAAATATTTTCTAAGTTTCATTTTGATTTCTTCTTTGACTCATAAATTATTTTAAAACATTCTGTTTAATTTCCAGGTAGTTGGAATTTTTTTATTACTTTCCTTTACCCCAACTTCTGGCTTAATTGCATGTGATCAGAGAATCTGCTCTGAAGGGTTTTAATTTTGTGTCATCCTTTCTCGGGGTCATATTAATCTTTTCTTTATCATCCCAGTTTTATTATACATGCTGCTGAAGTGAGCACTGTATTTATTAATATCTTTTAAAAATCGTTAAAAAGTTACATAGACAGATTTCTACCTCTTACCTATTTCCCCTTTATTCTTTCCTAGTAACTGTTCTAAAAAGTTAGTATCATTTCTAAACATATTTATTATACATAGTTACAACTATATATAAATAATATATACTATTTTTATGCTTAAAATTTAACATAAATGGTATCATACTATATAGTTTTTTTATTTTATCAATCTACACTGTTTTTGAGATTTATCCATGTTGATATATGTGGATCTAATTCATTCATTTCAATGGTTAATGATACTCTATTCCATTATAAACCATAGTTTATTCAATCATTCCCCCTACTGAGGGTAGTTGGGTATACTAGTTCAGAAGTATTAAATCTGCCTGGTGAATTATTTCTTTTATCAATAAGTAATGGTCTTTTTTATCACCAATACTGAATTTTACTTTAAAGTATATCTTGTCTGCTAGTAATATGTTTTCTTTTGGTTTGAATTGTTTTTTTTTTCTATACTTTTACTTGTACTTTTCCATATCATTGTCTTAGCATGTCTCTAGTAAATAGCATATGAGCAGAAATACTTGTGTGCACACATGTGTTATTTATCTGAGAGTCTTTTACCTTGCCTGATTAGTTCATTTACATTTGTTATTATTACCACTATGCCAATAATTTCTATCGTCTTATTTTGTGTTTTTATCTTTTTTTAATATATATTTTTATTGATTTCAGAGAGGAAGGGAGAAGGATAGAAAGGTAGGAATATCAATGATGAGAGAGAATGATCAATGGACTACCTCCTGCATGCCCCCCATTGGGGATTGAGCCTGCAATCTGAGCATGTGCCCTTGACTGGAATTGAACCCGGGACCCTTCAGTCCACAGGCTGATGCTCTGTCCACTGAGCTAAACCAGCTAGGGCTATGCTTTTATCTTATACTTTTTCTTTGCTTTTTTTGTTTGGCTCCCATTTTCTCCTTTCTTTTTGTTTTCTTTATTCTATTTTTTCCCCTTAAGACAGAGTTGGCATTTGCCCCTACCTTGCACTTGTGGCTGTGTGACCTACTTTTGCTCAATAAGATGTGAGCTAAGTTCTTTCATAGAGCTCCCAGAAGGGCCCTTCAGACAGGGACAGACCCAGCCTCCATGGACATTTTTGTTCATTGCCCTGCCCCTTTTACCTGCTGCACCCTGGTTGATGTCTTGGTACGGGAACCATGTTAGCATGCCCCCCAAGGATGAGAGCCACATCCTAGAATGTGAAACAGAGATAAAAAGACCCTGGGACATTAATAACTTAATAGAGCTCTGGCAGCAGTCTGTGTGGCCTACCTTCAGAATCTAACTGTGTGAGGGAGAAAGAAAAATCCTAGTTGTTAAGCCACCTTAAACTGAGTTTTCAGTGAACCAATTTCCAACTGACTATAGAGCAACTATTTTGGAAGTTATATTTCTTTCTCCCTTCCCTTCTCCCTTTCTCCTTTTATCCCTCTTTCTTCCCCATCTCCCTCCCTTCTTTTCTAGGTCTTAAAAAATTACACTGGTAATATGAGGTTATTATAGTGGTAAACAAAAGCCTTCACAGCCGAAAGCTTTTCTAAAAGAAAGGGTTTGTTGAGCCTTATGCCAGCCAGAAAAAGGACCAGGTCCTGGGGTGTGCAGCCTAACCCACAGCCAGATGGAGAAGGCTACAAGTCTGCCATCTTGGCATTAACTGGCTCTTTTCTGCATTAAGTTTGGGGAAGAAAGATGAAAGTTGTTTTGAAAGAATTTACATTGGCTGTAGATAAAGGGGTGGGAGGTGAAGCAAGCGAGTTCTGGGACAGGTGCAGAGCCTGGAAGGAAGAAATGTTGGCTTTTTTGTATTGATTTCGGGCAACAGTCTGGAAAGTTAATGCATAAGCAAGATGCTGTGGCACTAATGGTTAGCTATTCTCTCTGGATAATCTCTGAAATAGCCACCTGGAAGTTAGCTCAAAGTTTTAGCATACACTCGGGAATATAAGCAGTCTTTTGTTGGTTTTGCCCTGTAGTTGTTAACTCATTAACCTCTCTTGTCTCTTCCTACCATCCTCTGGTCTGCTGTAATTTAACTTAGGACATCGCAGAACTTTTTTCTTGTCAGTAGAAAGATTAGAAAATACAGACAAACAAAAAAGTAAAAGTCTCTCCAGATTTAACCACTGTTAAAATTTGAATATGTATCCTTCCAAACATGTTTTCCTATTTATTAGCTATTTTTTGGTTATTCAGGCAGCTTGGGTTAAAAAAACACCCCATTTCCCCTTATATTGAACGTGTGAGGTAGATGATTATATTGGTTGATTCTTTGTGAATTGTTTCCTAATTTGGAAATCACAAAAACGGTGTGAAAAATATTGGGCAAAAGTTAACACAATTTTCATGAAATATTCATCTATTTTTCTCTTTGCCTCTATTTTTTTCCTACTGTGTAAAGATAAGGGTAAAAAGAAGGTAAAGAGGGCCCTGGTTGGTGTGGCTCAATTGGGTGAGCGTCATCCCAGGCACTAAAAGGGTTACTGGTTCGATTTCTGGTCAGGACACATTCCAGGTTGCAGCCTTGACCCCAGGTAGGGGACATGTAGGAAGCAGCTTATCGATGCTGTGTTCTCATATGTCGATAGATGTTTCTTTCTTCTCCCTTCCTCTCTCTCTAAAAATCAATAAACTATTTTTTTTTAAATGAAGGTAAAGTGGAAGGAAGAAACTTTGGTGGAGAAGCTACAAATAACAAGAGAATAATAATTAAACAAAATTAAGAGTTATATATTTCGGACCCATCTGAGGAGAGAAGAGGTGGCAGGAAAACTACATGAACCAGCATCAGTGCCCAGTCGGGAGGTTGTGAGGGTGGGGATGATGATGTTGCTGAGACTGGTTAAGTCAGATGTCTGGACTGCAATTTATGCTGATGAGATCAAGGGGATGCAGTCCATCACTATGTTACACACTGAGTGTCCTTAAAAGGTTCTGACCCTCGGGCAGGGGTAGCAATGGGAAACAATCGCCTCCAAATGCAGGCCACTGGGCCCATAGGCAGCTAGGAATTACTCAGCATAATGTCATGGCACTCTCAGGGAAAAAGTGCCCCAAAGCCTGCATCTTACTGATAATGATCAAGTTTTATGTGACTGCACATGATGATCATCTTGGTTTGTTTTCTTTGAATTACAGTTCAAATTGCCTTGGTGTTTGGTGCAAGAATATTGGACTATGTCTTCAATTTGTGTGAAGGTAGAATCGACTTCCTTGAGCGGCTCTCAGACGATTTGCTCACGAATATCATTTCTTATCTGGGCATTGAAGATATTGCCAGCCTTTCTCTCACATCACACAGATTTTCAAAGGTAATGGTCATATAGTTTGTGTCCATAGAGAATGTTTCTTGTGTTTTGTCAAAGTTGTTTTTCTGTATTTTTAAAAATATGGCAGTGATTTATTACTTGCATTTATTTCAGCAGGCATGTGTTGAATTACTTTAAAATTTTTGTAGAAATATGTTTTCATTGATTTCAGAGAGGAAGGGAGAGATAGAGTGAGATAGAAACATCAGTGATGAGAGAAAATCATCGATTGGCTATCTCCTGAATGCCCCCTATCGGGCTTGAAACCCAGGCATGTGCCCTGACCTAGAATCTAACCCAGGGGTCCTCAAACTACGGCCTGTGGGCCACATGCAAATACAAATATTGTATAGCTGCCTCCTGCAAATCCCCCACCGGGGATGTGCCCACAACCAAGGCACATGCCCTTGACCGGAATCGAACCCGGGACCCCCGAGTCCGCAAGCCGATGCTCTATCCACTGAGCCAAACCGGCTTCGGCGAACTGGTCCCCTCTTTAAAAAGTTTCAGGACCCCTGATCTAACCAATGCATGTGATAATGCTCAACCAACTGAGCCACACTGGCCAGATCTCTTAAGTTCTTTATTTTATTTCAGCCTCAAAAAACTGTATGGTATAGATCCTATTTTTCATTCTTACTTTAGGGATAAGGAAGCTACGACTCAGCAAGATTAACTTGTCCAGGGTCCTACAGCCAGTAAAGGGCAGAATTGAGATCCCCAGGCGTTCTGTCAGCCAGTCTGGTGGGCCAGTGTCACAAACTTTCCACTAAGGGACATATGCAGTCAGCAAGTGGTCACCAAGTTCCTGCTGTGGGCCAGGCACTGTGCTGGGTGCTAGGGACTTGAAGGTGGTAAGATTGACATGGTTTCTGCATTCAAGGAGCTTACACCTGAATGAGGGTCAGAGGCAGTACACAATGAACTGTTTGGACAGTGATGGCTGTGATGAGTGCTAGGGGACTGGTGTGGAGTCCTATGAGACATAATTGACTTGGAGCTTCCCTGAAGAAGGGACATTTACCTGACTAGTAGGGGTTAGCCAGGCTGAGTGGGAAGCAGCCTGATTAGGCAGAGGGAGCTGTGTGCCAGAGACCCTGAAGAGTGAAGGACAGAATAAGGCCAGTGCTGCTAGAGCAGGGACGAAGCTGGAGAGGCTTTTGGAGGGTAGAGCTGAGGCGGGATGGGGCAGACGACAGGGATGTGGTCAGGTGCTGTTTTAATCCTACCAGACCTGAGGTCCTGAACCTAACTGTCCCCTATACCTGGGCTCCTGAGCATTAAAGAGAAAAAACCAACGTGATATAGAAAAATGTTAGTTACATGGAAACAAGTGGTTAGAATAAGATGGAACATTGTAGAAAAATAGGTCTATCTTTCATCCACCTTTCGTCTAGCGCCAATATTCCACCTTCGTCTAGCGAAAAATCGGTACAGCGGTCTAGTAGGGTTAATGGATCCTGTTGAAAATGAGAGCTGCAAGGTCACCTTTATGAGACAGAAAGGTTTCTAGGCCAGACCTGACTCTGCAGCAATGGGCCTGTCTTGGAAGCATAACGATAAACGTGGAGACACAGTGTGTGGATTCAGAGGTGGAAGGGGGCCCTAGCCCAGGAGAGCCTGTGGTGCCATCCCATGGTCAAGATAGGAAGTTTCCACTTATCAAACTTCATGCCACCAGCAATCAGGACCTTCCAGCTGCCAGTCCTTGATCTGACTCTGTCGACCAAGTCACAGAGCCTTCATGGACAAGTTCCCGTAGGTCTGGTGGGCTGTCTGTCTATATTTCTCAGGGCAAACCACTCCTCTGGGAGCCTGGCTAATAGAAGCAAACCCCTGAAAGGCGAACCCTGGGATTGTGGTAAGCTCACTAAGCTAATGCTGCCGTGGGAACCTGCCTGGGGGCCTGCTGGCTGGCTCCAGTGGCGGCACCTGGCATTGATGTTCTGCTGTTTCTGCAAACTGCAGCAGAGTAGACCTGAGGAAACCCTCTACAACTAGATGAGAAGGCCGAGGCACAGACGGGAGGGACAGTCATGACTAGGATATAAACATGTTCATCTTGATCATGATTCAGGAACACTGAAGAAGAAAACCTCTCCTCCGTCACGTTTTGGCTATGGAGAAACAGACTTTCCTCGTGCCCTTTGACCTTGATTCCCAAGTCTGGCCACCTGGAAGAAGCACCCAGGGAGCAGTGGAACTGGTGATGCCCAGCCCCGAGGGCCTGATTCCGCAGGGCCAAGGTGGGCCCAGCATCTGTGTTCTTCACATCTTTTCTTGTGTTTACAGTAACCGGAATCTAAGAATCTGGTCCAAGAATTTGACCCATGGATATTAAAGTTGTACAGATAAAATATCTCAGATTCTAAAAGGCTGGAAGCTCAGGTGGGAGAGGGATTTTCCTGTCTTTACTGTGTACAGGCCAACATGTGTGTTTTAAGTCCACAGGAGGCCAGAGTGCTAGGTTCTGTTCTTAGCTCAACCACTTCCCATCATGAGCCTTTGGCAGCTGTGCCCTTATCCTCTCTAAGCTTTAATTTCCCCATTTGTAAAAGGAGAGGTTTTAAAGAGATAAGCCCTAGGATTCCTTTCAAACTTATGTATATTAAGTTTATAGCTTATGTATGTTGAATTCACGCGTCACCACGAGGGGGCGCTAAGCCCACAGTTTGCTTTGCTTGGAATCAAAGTAACTGGAACCATAGTCAGGATAGAGATACCTCGTGTTTTGGAACCTGGCATCTACCAAATAAAAAAGCCCCAGGGTTTGGTAGTCTTAGATGGGAGTATTTTATGACGAACTTATAATACAAAACAAAACTGTAAATGTTTTCAGTATAAAATGAGTCAAATGAAATTATGCTGATGGAAATTTCAGCTCTCTTGAGAATTCTTTCTCTTCTCCCAAAACCTCATAGTTTTCTCCCATGAAATGTGTCTACTGGAGACAGGATAGTCATCTATACTAGTATTACAGTTTCAAAGGAACAGATCTGTTTTGTTTTTAATATTTTGACACTTTCTAACTTTTTCCTTTGCTGTTTATATTTAGAATATATTGTAATCTGAATAAAGAAACTAGACCTCGAATGACTGTTGAAGATGGATTAAGATAATGCACACCCTGCCTAACATCAAAATGTTTGTGGGCCGTCACACTCCTATATTCAGTGTTGCTGTTTAACATTATGTGAATATAATAGTTTTTACTCTAATAGTGTGTTAATAGCAGGGGACTGATGAGAGGTGTTGCCATAACTAATGGTGCCATCTGAAAAAGTCCTGCTATTAGGAAATCTTGGGTAAATGGAAGCTGAATTGTGGCAACTTTGACGTTGGAAGGAGGGAAAATGGACGTATGCAGCTATTGGGCCAGAGGGGTCTTGTCTGTCTTTAAACTCATGGCCCCTGGTTAAAGCCCAAGGCTGTAGAAGAGAGTCTCAGAGGAAGTTGTTCCCAGAGAACGGCTCACTTTGCCAGGTGCATGGGGCAATGACATGTGTGCAGAGGACTTGGAGCAAAACTTTGGTACCAGGAAGGAGTAGGTTTTCCATGTGCCTGCTGGCAATCTCTGAGGGCTGCTTGGTCATTTTGATGAAGTTCAACACTGAGTAGCCTACAGGGGAATGAGCTGTCAGCTGTGCAAACCCAGGGGAGAGATGGCTTGAGCAAGGGCTTAAAATAGATGCAGCTTGGCCAACATGGCGTAGAGGTTAAGTGTTGACCTATGAACCAGGAGGTCACGGTTTGATTCCCGGTCAGGGAACATGCCCTTATTGTGGACTCAATACCCAGTAGGGGACGTGCAGGAGGCAACCGATCAATGATTCTGTCTCATCATTGATGTTTCTATCTCTCGCTCCCTCTTTCTTCCTCTCTGATATCAATAAAAAAATTTTTTTAAGAAAAGGGATGCAAATTTAGCAGGAATTAGCTGCTCCCTATTAATTCATTCTAATGCAGTGCTGGATGGCAGATCAGTTGACTATAACATTATCAGCCTCTACTATGTGGCTAATTAGAAATTAGCTAAGTAATGTTGTTTTCGAACTACATAGAGCTATCATTCTGCATCTTAAATGACATCAGGATTTATTCAGTTAATCAAATATTGCTTTGTCCTTTAGATCTTTGTGCACTTGCCTCTTTCCTCAAGTAGGAAGTTTCTGGATGCAGGAGCTATGCCTGGCACCTCTTCATGCACATGCAGTGTTTCTTCCCATGTCTCACAGGCAACAGGATGTGGGTAGTGACCTCATGAGTGAGTGTATGACTTGCACTAAACCCACACGAGTTGTGACACACTTCTGACTTTTTCCTCCCACAGCTGTGCACGTCTGACAAACTGTGGGAGCCAATAATTGAGGCCTCTGGTGAAATCACCCCTGCCATGAAGGCTCTGGCCCAGGACCCAAGTTGGAGACAAAAGTTCTTCATTCGAAAGTTGCATCTCTGCAAGAAGCAAAATCAAAAAAGCCAGGCAGACAGTCAATGATAGGGATGTTGAGGCATGGCTGCGTTTTTCTGCTGTGTCCATATCTCTTCTGTTTCCTTTCATTGAAAACTAGGAGGCATTGCTGGTTCAAGGAGTCATCTGAAAAGCACAAAGTACTTACTCACAGATGCAGCAAACCCCACTCTGCAGGGCCTTGCCTGAACCACAGTCCTTCCGGTGAAGGTGAAGGTCAAATCATGGCCCACACAAGGGCTGAAAGACAGGAAGCCCACCAGTGATGTCTTCCCCATCCTCCAACACCCAAAGGAAAAAAGGCTGCTTCTGCAATAAATGGCTACCAGTGGATTTTTTATTACATATCTGTTTCATCTAGGCATTGGAAAAGGGAACCAAGCTTTTAAATTCTTTGCTGATGGTATGTCATCTGAGTCCATTCATGGAGCAGGGGCCACGTGTCGCCAGAGGGGCAATGGCCTGGGTGGCACTCCCATGAGTGCCACTGTCTTCCCAACTCTGTTCCTTGTAGTTTGCATTCAGGACCTGGTCCTGTGGGCCCGGGATGCTGGGCATCATCTCGCCATGCAGACAACCCCTGCCCTGGCCCTGGGGTATGGCCATGCAGACAACCTATGACCAGGCCAGGCATGCTCCTTGCAGATCTTGTTTAGAGCTCAGCCTCCCAGGACTTCACATTGCCAAATAAACCTATAAATATTTCCTAGAGGGATGTGTTTCCCAAAGGATGTGGACAGTTACCACTCTTATAACTGTGATTTTTAAGAACACAAGCTGTGGGTAACTGTGTAAAAACCTGTGGTTTGTATTCTTTTAACTTGGCAGAGGAGTAAAAACACTACAGTTTTAGGGGAGGGAATGCCACCTTGCTGAGATGGGTTATTTAAGAATAGTTTTCTTCCTGTGCTCTCGTGAGGTTTAAGTCCCCCAATGAACTCATAACAGTGGATAATCTCATGACTCCTTTCAGGTTACAGAACAAAGTAGCTTTCAACTTCCCATCACCCTTCTAACCTCATTTCTTCATTCCTGCAGCCTCTACTTTGCTACCTAGAAAACAATGACATATGTAGCTCTCCACCCCACATCCTCCATGTCAGAGGGACTCCCCTGATGCAGTGGGACCTCCCCAAAAGTGCAGAAGAGGCGAACTGCTGGCTGTCCTCCTCCTAGATTCTTCTAGAATGGTTTCATAGCTATGGCTCAGTGACAGATATTTTTTCTTTTTTTAATCTCCACTCAAGGATATTTTTCCACTGGTTTTTAGGGAGAGTGGAAGAGAGAGGGAGAGACAGAAAGAAACACTGATGTGAGAGAAACACTTCGGTTGGTTGCCTCCTGCATGCACCCCGATCTGGGCCGGGCCAGGGAGGAGCCTGCAACCAAGTTGACTGGAATCGAACTCAGGACTCTTTGGTCCGAAGGCCGATGCTCTATCCACTGAGCAAACTAGCTGGGGCTCTTTTTTTCTTTTTAACTAAACCTGTGTTAATAGCAAACCAGATGTTAACCCCCATTCACATATACCCTTAACACTTGGTCATAGATTCCCGGGGACATCTGTGAAATCAAACGTTAGCTGCTGCCTTGCACGTGAGGAGCCTGTCAAAGCCATGTCTGGATTTAGTCCAAGCATAGAGCAAAAACCTTAATTGGCGAGAGACCCAGGCCTTGTTCTCTGCTCAGGAGTGGTCCTGCGAGGTGCGGGGTGCCTGGCAGGCAGGCAGAGGACACCTGCTTCTGCACGGCTCCTGCTGCCTACTGGTATTTCTCACTGAAGTTCCTTCACTTTTGGCCAGGTTTTCAGTGACAGAACACAGGTCAGTACCATGTGTGTGCAGCATTTATGTGGATGTACAATTTGGTATGTCAACATAACTGTATGAATATAAAATTACAACTCATTTGTTGCATTGATGCAAAATGTCAACAGCTCAAAAATGTCATGGATTGTGTTTTATCAACTAACAGATTCTAAAAGCTTATGGGCGTGCATAATGTAGATTCAACAGGAATCAGTGAGAACACACATTTGGCCACTGGAAAACTTTTAGTATCTGTATATAATACTGTAATATAAAAATAGATGCTAAAGGTAAATAATTAAAATTTATTAATGTGTTGATCATTGTTAACGAATAGGTTTAAAACAGATTACTAGATTATTAAGGTATAATTATTTGCCTTAATAATTTGAGTGCCTTATTACCTGGCAATCATTATTTTTGCCAAAACATGAACAATATCATCGACCTAAAATCCTGCATCCTCTGGGGTGGAAACATTTGCCCTCCCCCCTCCTCCTTTCCTTGTTAGATCCTCATGACAAGCCATCAAGTGAAAATATGACAATGTTTTGCTTTCTATTGACAGCTTTCATGGGGATGGATAAATCTGCTTTGTTTATGACACACCACTTCAGAGTGAAATGCCACAGCATTTTATAATCTTGCTCTTTCTCATCTTTCCAGTGAAAAGTGTTTCTACTATTATCGTTTACCATTGTAACTACCAAAGTAAAATATTGATTTTTTTATGTTTTATATGCTTTAAAGTTAGAACAATTTATTAACGACAAATGTGAATATTTAATTTATAAATTAAAAAAATATATTTTACCTAATATCAATTTCTATTATTGCTTTTTTGGCATATTATGTGCATTAAACCTTGGTAATATGGGATGCAAAATATTTTACCGAGTAGGCCCATGAATTTGGGTGAGATTATGATTTGGGACAGGGGTAGGGACAAATCACGAGTCACCATTTGTCATTGTTTTCCAAGCTCCTTTTACATGGTGGTCATCAGCCCTCATTTATTCCCCCAAATAAACTTAGAAGATGCTGAAGAATAATGTAAACATACAACACTTGTGCAGCATAGTTTTTTGATCTGAGTTTTAAGGTAATGACCTTTATCTCCAGTTTGTGTTAAGAAAATATTATGAGAGAGGGTCCATGTTTTTCAACTTTGAACAGTTGGTTTCGACTTGAAATGTGTATCTTTAACTGGATGCAAAACATATAGACAAGGTACCACCATACTAAAGAAAAATGTGCATCCGCAGTTAAAAACAAATGTCTATATTGTCATTTTACAAAGTACAATTATTGTCTTAGCTTTCCTGTTATTGTTTTCAAGTGAGATCATCTACACAATGGGATATCATGAGTTTGCCCTTGAGACATGGGACCTCTAGGGCTGGGAGCTACAGAGCAGGACTCCCAGTTTCCTGCTTATCATGTTCCCTCAAGTGCAGATCTCCATTCAGAAAAGTTGTTTTCAGTGGGAAATCTGTTCTGTCCATCCAGAAACTGTTAGGATCATAGATCCATGGTCAAGATAAGTTGGAACACCCTTAGAAATAATAGCAGTTTCCATTTGAGTGTATACTGAGTATCAAGAAATAAACAGGTAGTAATCAATTTAATTCTTACAGAAAGCCTTGAAGGTAAGTGATATTATTTCTCTTATAGATGAGGGGTAAATAAACTAAGGCATAGGTCAAATTTGACCAGCTGCCTATTTCTGTATATAGTTTTATTGGGCCACAGTTCATGTTTATGTTCACAGATCATGTTCACACGATGACAGAGGGAGTCACAATATAGACTGTATGGCCTGCAAAGCTGAAATTATTCTGAGAGGACAAGTTAACTTTCCCAAAGTCTCATAACCAACAGTGGTAAAGTTGAGATTCAGATCAATAGCTACCATCTCTATGTTCTTAGCCACAAAAACACCATGTCTCCTTTCACAGCCAACACCACTTTTGACGAGTGGGACTTGAAAAGGTGATGGGATTTGTCCAAGGTCACATTTGAAATAACACGGGAGAGGGCCTAGGACATAATATAAAAGAGCATTCTAATCTAGTCGACCAGAGAATATTCTAAGCATTTTTCTTTTTTTTTAATTTATTTTTATTTTAGAGAGGAAAGGAGAGGGAGAGATAGAAACATCAATGATGAGAGAAAATCCTGCACGCTCCATACTGGGGATCAAGCCCACAACGCGGGCATGTGCCCTGACCAGGAATCAAACCATGACCTCCTGAACTTCGGTTTTTTAAATCACGAAATAGTTCCAGCATCCTGGAACGTATAGAAAAAAATCCAATGAACATGCATGCACCCACCACCCAGCTTCGATACCATCTTCCCATGTTTGCACGTTATGTCATCTAGAGAACAAAATATTAAAGACACTTTTGAAGCTACGGACCCCCTCCCTGGCCCCTGATGCTGCCCCCTTGCTCCCCTGTGAGAACGACCTTATTTCCGTGCACATTTTAATTCTATCACTACAAACTCACACGTCTATAAACATGCACACTATTTTGTACATGCAGCCAAACTTTATATAAATAGTATCAAACCATATGTCTGCCTCACTCTTTGGCTTTCTTTAT